ACAGTTGAACTTTGATATCTCATACACTGATTTCTCATTCAAATACCATGGAAGTATCAAAGTGATTTGGAAGACTTAACAACTTATATCCCAGCTGATATTACTCAAATACATGATAATCTCAAAGATTTTTTTTTTTCGGTCCTATTGAGTCTGAGATAATAAGGTTTGACTGTTTTATATATATACATTATAGTGCTTCCTTTTGATCCCTGAACGCATGTTTTTTTTCTGAAAACTAAAAACTTAGCCTAATAATCACATAAATAGGGAATATTTTATTTTTTTATGAGGGAGGGTAGGGGATTCATTGACAAGGCAATGTACATTTCCGATTCATTAAATTCTGTCAACGGCTGGTATTATAAAATAGAAGGAGTTATATGACAGAATTTTCTACCAATGTGCATGCACATAAATAAATAATACAGTACATGAATAATGGATTCATAATTTTCTTACCTATAAGCACTGAATAACAAATCTGGGTCACTGTGTTTTCTATTTATATTCTTATGTTTTTAATATCTTCTATATAGTTATATAATTCTAAATTCCTTAATATATTCACTTAATTTTCACACAATAGATTGTCACTGATCACTATGCTGTCTTCTTTTTTTCAGGAAGAACACACATGCTACTGTTAATTATTTTTTTTTGAATTATTAACAATGAAGAGAATGAAATCAGGGAATATTAAAAGCTAGTTGTGGTATATGTCTCCTGTTGTCATGCAATGCAACTTCAATGCAATTTTATTTCTTATTAATGTAGTATCTGTTACACAATCTAATTAAAATTTGACTTGTATTTTCGCTCCTTTACTAATTACGCTTCTTGTATTAAAGCTTATAGTAGAGGAGCTAAAATACAAGTCTAATTTTGATTAGCTTTATCTGTTACACTGATATTAGTTAAGGAAGTATTTGTCTTAATTTTTATTTTTATTATGCATATATTATTGCATAAAGCATGCTCTGCTATAAATCATGTCTATGTTTTTGTGTTCTTTTTAAAATTAAATATTTCATGTCTGTTAATTTAGTTATTTATTTTATTCCTTAAAATGGGGAGGGAGATGAAGTGTTTTGTTTATTTTTTGGCGAGAAATATTTTCCAGTGCAAATTGTTAGTATTTATTTATTGTTGGACACAAGATCATTATTTGGAAACACATCATTTTTCAAAGGTCAAAATGAATGCTATATTTGATTGTAACAAAAATTGCAGATATTTGATGAAAATTCTCAGTGTTTTAACTTGTTGATTGTTCCTAATAGTTTTTGAAATAAAATTTTGTTCAAAATTATTATTGTTTTTGTTGTTGTTGAACTTGCAACTTAGATCGGACATATGATTGATAATTAAATATGCATATCCATTGCAATCAATTTGTATAACTTAGCAAACTGCAGAGGAAATAGGCTTGAAGCCCATGCAATAATCAAAAATGTTCCCTGGAGGTTAAAAAAGTTGGTCAGTCGGTTTGGAGTGGGCAATTTTTCAAAGGCCTTGCTAGTTCTGTTTTATATGCAATTTACAAGAGTGCACATGTATTACAGAATTCATTCAATTAGAAATACTTTATATCCTCATAAATTTGATTTTATGGAAATGCCAAAATAATTTACTTGCTTGAACTTAACACTGTTGTGATAAATACACTCCTATTTGTCGATATCACCATGTAGACTAATAAAACAACAGTACATGTACTTTAATTAATTATCAATAATGATCGTTTATCACAAATGCAAAGATGCCAAAAAGGAATAACTTTTTGCAGTAGGTAAAAACTTTACAAGATCAAAAAAGCCCTTTAATTAATTATCAATAATGATCGTTTATCACAAATGCAAAGATGCCAAAAAGGAATAACTTTTTGCAGTACACTAAAAACTTTACAAGATCAAATAGATAGCCCTTTCCAGAAACAAATGTGTCCTACATGTAGTAACATAATCAATAGGCTCATCATCACCATGCTTTTAGCTTCTCTGTTTAATATATAACGAAAAAGAAGAAGCTTTTCAAAGAATCTGTGCCATGTCACTATGTGATCAGTAGAGTTCCACCCTAAATTTAGAACCAGCTCCGACACTGGCATCATGAATTTTTTTGGTAAAAGACATATTGTATGCAGTAAACATGTCAACAATTTGACTTCGTTATGTCTAGGAGTAAAAATGATTTTTGAAAATTGCATTAATTTGGATAGGCAAGTCACCCTTCAATTTTCCAGGGGTCAGGAACTATGAACTTTGCTATTTTTGTCTGTCTTTTCCCAAAGAGCCTACTTATAGAGACACTGTGAGCACTGAGCTTATTTTTACCAGTGGTTATAAAAATGCATGTTTTGCTTTAGGGATGCCCAGATCAAAAAATAAAAAAAGAGGTCAAAATGGCATTATGTAATAAAGAATCTATGAAATTATCATTAAATCTTATTCATTGGTATGGGGCCGGGAAATTCACAGTTTGAAAGTGGCACCCTTGCTCATCATCACCATGCTTTTAGCTTCTCTGTTTAATATATAACGAAAAAGAAGAAGCTTTTCAAAGAATCTGTGCCTATGTCACTATGTGATCAGCAAACTGAAGAGAGTGAAAGCTAAACCAGCAAAAAAAGGTAAACCCAATTTTATGCCTAATTATATTTGCATATCCAGCTCCGACTTTTGGCATCATGAATTTTTTTTGGTAAAAGACGTATTGTATGCAATGAACATGTCAACAGTTTGACTTCGTTATGTCTAGGAGTAAAAATGATTTTTGAAAATTGCATTAATTTGGATAGGATATATAACCTTTGAAAGTATTTTCCAGTGGTATAGGAGGAACTATGACCTTTCAATATTATAGAAAGAAAGACCGTGTTTTTGTCTCAAAATTTGTCTATTTCCCAAAAAGTAGAAAGAGTTTCACCTACTTATACAATTACATGAATTTCATTCAATGATATAAAAGGAGTTGCGAATAAGAGATGGGTACCCTTCAATATTATAGAAAGAATGGCCGTGTACTTGTCTTACTCTTGGAAACTCAAAATATGTGTCCTGTTATAATGGCAAAGTAGGATGTTTTGCTTTGGGAAACTAGCGTTATGGTTTTATATTTTAGTCTTTGACCATAACATGTCAAAGACT